TAAATGTTTTCTCTCCATTCACTGAACACCACTTTACACACAGCTCATTCTTCTAAACCGCTTCAATAACTACTAAACCTCCTGCCCTCCCTCTTCCACTCTTCCACTGTTTTATTTTCCGAAGCTATTAGGACCAGATGTGCATCATTTCATTAGCTCAATATGTTTTGCACAGTTGTAAACTTATGGATGACCACAGGATGGGTTACTAAAGAGGATTAACTCAAGAGTTTATAAGGCGAAGCTTTCAGCTCGAGGCAGCGGGAGAAGTCTGTGAGATCATCAAATAGCTTTGACGCAACCATCAGGATGATTTACGTGTCTTGATAATTTCTAACAGGCAACACAAGGAGAAAAAAACACTCAAACCAAAACAGAACAATCAGGAATCTGCCTGTGGTGTTTTAGATTCTGATAGCTTCTTGGCAAGTGCCTCAGCAAACACACAGACAGGCACCGACTCTGCAACCGCAGACTGATGGCAGCTGGGTTTGCCGGGATAATGCAAGCTGATTTCACATGGTGAGCAATAGTGCCAGTGCACGTCGCTGCCGTGAACGGTGGGAGAGGAGGAATGAGCAGCCATGATATGACGGAGAGAAGAAGGGATCACAAAAGAGAGAGAGGGGAAACAATAGCCCTTGGTGTAAAGTGCAGGATCTTAGATTTCTCCCAGCAGTGCTGTTCCTCACACTGGCAGCAGCCCAGTCAAACATGCCTTTGTGCTGACGTGGGAGAGCTATGGGAACGTGTTTTTTTTCTTTCTTTTTTTTCTGGCCAAGGCACTGACTTGGGATGTTGAGCTGAGCTGGTGGGGGTTACTCAAATATCCTCAGTGATGCAAACGATCCTTTAATGATGCGGAGAGAAATAAAATCTATGTGAGAGACGGGGATTTGCAGCTTTTTGTTCCTTTCTTTAGGAGGAACTGCTTTTCAATAAAACCGCACTCTGTATACGATTCATAGGAAGCAAAAAGGATGCTGCTTTACCACCTTAGGGGGTTGCAGGGATCTGGAGAAATCCATCTGCGATCTCATAAAGAGATCACTCCATCACATCCTACTCCAACTGCAATTTCATGAATCATTAACCCATAAGTGCTTGGTTACTTTTGAACACAAGCAGCTTCTTTTGTCATCACCATTTTAATTAGCTTGATAGGAACTTCAGCAACATAAAGCACGATTACTACAGGCTCGGTGGAAAGCTGGAGGAGCTAGACCAGGATGGAAAGCATAGAGGAGGGGGGTGGGGGTGGGGGGGGGGCGGCAGGGTCACACAGAGGGATCCTGTTGCCGTGTGGGATTTCAGCTGTGGCTTGGAATCCTGAGGGACTCATTATGTCGAGATCCCCAAAACAGCCTCGCGCAGGCTGAGAGATGTTCCCAAGCCAAGCTCAACTTGAGAGACGTTGTCCTTGTTATATAATAACAAGATAATGACATATCTGTTTTTAAAGGACATGGTTTATTTATTTTGATGCACTTGCAGTTGTGACAGAACGTTGGGGCCAAACAAAACAGAGGAGGAGGAAGCTTAAAAATGTTCAAGTGTTTTGTGCATCATTTTCATTGTTATTAATTGTGGATGCTTAGAAAAAAAACTTTTAAGAGATGTGTTGTCTGTGAACACACAGAATAAGCTTGTAGCTCCCATTTTGGACATTGAGGTGTTTTGGAGGGTTTAGCCAAGGCCGTAACCAAGGCGCCAACACTAGGGGGACCAAATACCAATACATGAGGGCTACCTGACAAATATAACATAATAAAGACATTAACATTAGCTAAACATGTATACGTCATGCAAAAAATATGATATTTAATGGACATCTGAATAAATCAAGTATGAAGATACAACAAATTAGAAAATGTTTTGTTCCTTTTTTTATCCCTCCAAAAGAGGTAGTTGTTGGTCATTGCATTATATGATGCAGCAATGTTTATTTCCAGTGTATTGACTGCTGTTTACGAGGACACTGTGATGTCACAGCTGCTCTGACTTCAACAGGCCATGACTAAATACAGGCTTTTAATATAATATCTCATATTTGCTCTCAAGAATTCTTTCTTTCTTTCTTTCTTTTTATTGTCTGGTCATAATGCTATGTGGGGTGGACAGTGGGGGTATATGATGCCATCAGTATTTCTTATGCCCTAACAAAGGCCTTGACCCCAACAAACATTAATAATGTGACTTTTACGTTGCAACATTTACAGTAAGGGCAGAAGAGAGGGGGGATTAAAAAAAGGTGATGCAATAACTGGGCAATAATTCAATAGTATGTTTACTGGCATTCAGTAAATGTATATTGCGATAACATACTCATATCATGCTATCATTTTATAGCATTATGTTGGCAATCTGATTGTTTTTTAAGGTCATTTTGAATGGATGTAGTATGATATAATGTATGTCAATGGCGGAAAAATATTCTTATTCAAATTTTAAAATTGATTTCAATAATCACCTATACCTAATGTGATGATAGTATTGGTTGGAGTATTTTGTGTACACCTACTCAGAAGTATTGTTATTTAGCCAAAAGCAAACTAAATGTGGGATTAAAAATGACTGGATGTCAATGGACAGGTATTTTCTGGATGCAGGTATGAGCTGAGGAGCCTACAGAAACCCCACGGCATGCAATTTCTTTACAGATTCAGACAAAATCAGAGGTTCCCAGCAAAACAAAAAACAAGCAAATGCACACACAAAGCTACAACAATTGAAAAGTCTTATTCCACATAATGAGAGCAGACTAAAAACACTGCACAAATGCTCTAGTCCGTGAATACATTTCAACATAAATTTGACTGATGCTTGCTGAGAAATATGTCTCGATCCCTAACCTATTAAACTGACTGATGTTAAAATATTTGAAATAAATTATTTGTTTTATTCTCACGATCTAATGAGGAAAATTTGGTACCAAGGTCAAAATGTCATGTGCCACGTAATCCTTCTTTCTTGATGGGCAAAGAAAAACACTGAACGGTGATGCAGATATACTGTAAATATCACAGGATACATCCAATGATAATATAAGCAGGGGAAATAAAGCGCTGGCAGATATGATGAAGTGGCATTTAAGCCTGACTGAGTCACTGTGGGGTTTACAGTTTTGGACACCCCTCCTCCCCCCTCTCTTACAATAAGCAGGGGATTGCCATGCATGGGAAAAGAAAGGCAGCGGGGCTACTGTACAGAACAAAAGGCTCCCTGCGTAAAACTGCGCATGAGTGCTGCCGCTATATGCACGTGTTGTGAAAGCAGAGCAATGCCAGTTTTCATTACAGCCCCCTTTAAAATGTCAACGGTTAGATTTTACTACGACACACGTACAGCCTCTCAGCACGGGCTCAAAATCACCTGCAGCACATCTAATAACTACAGTGTGAGAATTCCATAAGAATAATGGCAGAAAAAGGCGACACGTGATGTGAGGAATGGTTATGGACGGTGATGCTGCGACCCCCCCCCCCCTCAGTGCCATCATCGCGTTGCATCAGCACAAACAGACAAAGAGGTTGTGATGCCCTGGATGTCACCGCTCCCTCAAAATGCTGTATCACCGCGTTAATGGCAGCATCACTCCACTCCCTTATGATTCCAGGCACCTCGTCGCAAACACGTGGCCATCAAACAATAGTATCCCGAATTAAACACATTCAAAGCTGCCTTGTTATTTTTGCCACGGACGCAGCACTCAGTGCCTGGACACTTTGGACACACGCGTCTTTTAATTCCACGAGAAACTCAAGAAAGCAAATGTGAAAAGAAAGCTGAGATGATTTATTCTCATTGTAAATGTTGTCACCAGTCATGTTAAATATCAAATGGACATCTTGAACACGTCAATGGCTCATATACGCATGAAGCATCAAACTGTTTTTTTCTAAGGGATTTTTTTGACCAAAACGGGGTTTTCCCACAAAAAATCCTCTTTTATTTATCACATCAACTTATCACCGACTTGCATCACAGCATATATCACCACTCCACCGCTGACTCCTACATAATAAGACTGACAGGGACTGACTAAGCCACTGCTGCAGCACCCGATCCACATGACAATGCAGGACCGCGCGTAAAGGCGCAGCTGTTTTGATAGAGTCACCACTTGGTTTTAGAAAAATCTCCAAATGTTTTCTTTAATTTGGGGCGTGCTGATGAGAGTGGTGCTCGCTCCCGATGCTTTTGAACATAAGGGGTTAATGATAATGAAAATATGGGTTCTTAAACGACACCGTCGAGCGATTGAGATGATTCCATTGGCTGTCGGAGCGAATATGGCTCGTCCTTACACAGCAAATATTTGGATGATTTTTTTTAATGTGGATTAATGAGCAGGTGTCATAATGTATTATTTCAGTTAGGAGAGTGGGGGAAATGTTTAAGTGCACAGCATAGTAATCATAATATAAAGATGATGATAAAATAATTAAAAATAGCTGCAAATTAATTTGATGAATGCACATGTAATGAATGAGGGAGGCGTTTAATGACGCTGCAAGTGACAGCGACTTTTTATGGAGTATTTTTTTTCCTGGTAGAAGCAGCGGTATGCCTGACCCTCCTCTGGGATCACCAACGCATCTACTTTTGCACACACACACACACACACACACACACAAACAGAGAGAAAAGGGGGGAGCGCACACGGCGTATTGACTCAAAGCATAACAGGATGTGGTACAGAGTTTGTGTTTCACTCCCAAACCCGCGTTCACACCCCAACACATTACACCGTTCAATATTCGCACCACCGCCGAGCTTTCAAGAGTCATGCATGCGGTTTTTCTTTTTCTTTTTTTTTTCTTTTTTCAGTAAGTGACTTTGTTTTCCATAGATCACAGTAAGGACTCTCCCGGCTCAAGCCCACCGCTGCGACACTTATGCAAGTTTGCAACTCGGGTCATGAGAGCAAATCAACAATAGGCTGAGATTTGACAAACACAGCGAGATGAGAGAGGGAGAAAACGTGCATAGCAGCTCACCTTTTACTTTCTATTCTCCTCGTATTCCAGCCCTTTTGTCCGTTTCCCACATTAAGTTCTCTCACATGATGACTCGCTTTGTCGTTTCCTCAAAGCCTCCCGGCTGCAGATAGGTGACTTCTTCTCCCGCCGCTGCAACTCGCTTATTTCTCACTTAACAGAAAAACAACGTCTGTGTGTGACTCTACGTTGTTGCCGCTCCGTGCGTGCGTGTGTGTGTGTGTGCGTACGACTGCGCGCGCTCTTGAGTGTGTATGCGTGCGTGGTGATCCAGCGCGGCGTGCCGCTCCGTCTCCGCTGTTTGTTACACTCGACTGGAACGCCTACTCTCAGTCGCTACATTGTTGACATTCGGCCGCTGACGTCACTCTATCCCCTCATTCACAACATCGTTAGCGCCGCACCGCTTTGCGTTGGTTGCAGCGGGAAGCGCGCGCGTACTCAGCGGATCGTGCGCAGAAGAGCTTGGAGAATCGCACTACTGGCTGCTCGCTCAAATCCCTCCCCTCGTGCTCGCTGGTTCGGCGGCCTCGCGCCCCCCTCCTCCTTCCCTCCTCCTCCTCCTCCTCTCGGTGCACACAGCGGGAATGTGACGGTGAAAGATGACACAAGACATTTTTCACAAGCTGCAGACGCAAACGTCAAGACCACTTAGTCCAGTGTTTACCTATTGTTTTAGTCAAACCACCTGAAAACTCCAAAAATTGGGGTGGCGTTTCATTTCTATTTCATATGTCCTTACATGTTTGTTTGTTTTTCCAATTATACTTTTTATTGTTTAGCCTACTTAAGAAAAAAGAAAAAAAGCCTACAGCAACCTAGATCATGACACAGAGTTACTTGTACATATAGTAACAGATGACAAGATTGTAAAATGATATTAAAGAACACATTATTCAGAAACATAACATTACATTTACATGACAGGTTCCCTGCATCTGTGTGATCCGCCCCAGCTTTACTTCACCTGCACAGGATCGATACAATGTACCATAATGTGTGTGTGTAGGGCCCTTTAATGCACATATATCAGTGTAAATTAAAATACAATAAATAAGTATATATTTTTGTATATGTAAAAAAATTAAATAGACAAAATAGAATAAAAAACTGATAGGCTACAAATTAAATATTATACAAAATAGATATGAGCTATATAAAGGCTGCAACGGAACTATTCAGGAGACAAAATCTGTATTTACCCCCACCCCCCTTGACTACATCATATACCTCCAGTCTGAACCACTGGGCTGTGACTGTATGTTTGGCTCCAAGATATGTCAAGACACTACTCTGAGTTGGATTCCCTGGAATGTATCAGAAATGGTTCCCAGATTTCCAAGAAGACGTCCAGTTTATTGTTTATCTTATAAATATGGCAGCCATAGAAGGCTGATTCCGCGAGGGTGTTAAGCCGTTCTTGATAGTTTGGAGGATCCCTCTCTTCCCAGTGTCTGAGTATAACCCTCTTGCCGGTAGTGATGGCAACTTTGACCCATTTTAAATACTTAGGGCTCACATCTTTCATGTCTTTTGTAATGTTCAAGAGGCACAGACTGGGGTTCAGAGTTACCTGTGTCCCCAGACTGCTGCTGATCTTCTCCATGACCTTTTGCCAGAAAGTAACCAATGAGGGGCAACTAAAAAACATGTGCACTATATCGCCTAAGCTGGTGTTGCATCTCCAGCACAAGTTGGATGGTATCAGGCCCATCACCTGTAGCTTTGATATATACAGTATAGGCCAAAAGTTTGGACACACCTTCTCATTCAATGCGTTTTCTTTATTTTCATGACTATTTACATTGTAGATTCTCACTGAAGGCATCAAAACTATGAATGAACACATGTGGAGTTATGTACTTAACAAAAAAAGGTGAAATAACTGAAAACATGTTTTATATTCTAGTTTCTTCAAAATAGCCACCCTTTGCTCTGATTACTGCTTTGCACACTCTTGGCATTCTCTCCATGAGCTTCAAGAGGTAGTCACCTGAAATGGTTT